TTCAACATTGATAATAATCAGAAATGTTTCTTGAGCAGCAAATCAGCATATTAGAATGATTTCTGAAGATCATGTGACACTGAAGACTGGAGTAATGATGCTGAAAATACAGCTGCGCATCACAGAAATACATTACAGTTTAACCACACACACACACACACACACACACACACTCACTCACACACACACACACTCACACGCACGCACACACACACACACACACACACACACACACACTCACTCACGCACACACACACGCATACACACACACGCACACACACACACGGTGAGTGTTACCGGGTCAGGCGGTGGTTTATAGTCCCGTAACTTCATCCACAGCAGCGGCGGCAGAGAAAGATTAAAGCAGCGTGTATAAACTACAGACAGCAGAGATCTTACTGCTGGACTTCAGGGAATAGATATTTTCAAGCCAGTCCTCAAATAAACCAGACTCGAGTGCTCAGACCGGAGAGCTTCATATCACACTGCTGAAACTCACTCACAGCATGAGACTTACCTTCAGATGCGCTTGAGCGGCCAATTTTGTGGTCTATGAAGGACAGAAGATGAAAAAGTGTCTTTATAATCAGTTAGTTATTATACATGAGCAACTGACACACACATACAGTCACAAAACTCATTCCTCACAACTAAACAATAACACTTCAGCTGGAAGAGCTCGTGCTGTGTAGTGAATACTGTTTGACAGACGTGACACCACAATTACCACCAGCTTCAGCGTCTCACTGCTTCATAAAACATATTCAGGGCACACGTTCATGATCCAGTGCCTCAGATACGCCTTCTTTCTTTGCGAGAACCAGGGGCGATTCTAAGATTTTCGTTTTAGGGGGGCTCAGCCCCCAATGAGGGTATAATAATGACCAGCGGCAGCATGTTTAGTACTATTAGTCTGCTGTCACTTTAAGAGGTTTCTCTCAACTGTTTACTTTCACTTTAGACATAATCAGCTGTGTTTATATGTAAACCTTGTATGTTTTTGACAGTATTAGCTCAATCAGACGCCAAGTATAACTCAGTCCTGTAATCAGGCGCTGTTTGACAGGATTTTTAGTGCGCGCGCGCTTCAGGTGTACGCGCTCAGAGAAAGCACACATCAGAACAGCACGAGAATTAAATGTTTAACCCGCCAAGACTTTAAAGCACATGAAAATAATGCAGTGTTGTGATTGAGAATAAGTGCAGTGTCCCGTGAGTGTAACTCTACTGCTGAGTGACATCTGATGTGAATGTTTGTGGCAGAGACGCCAGAACCACAGCTGAATGAATGTGCTAAGAAAGATACATTTTTAGGAATTCATAACTTTGATCTTAGGAAAAAAATATTTATACACCGGCAACTCACCAACATGTATGATATACTCTACCATTCAAAAGTTTGCCATCAGTAAGATTTATCTTTAAAAGAAATTCAGCAAGCCTGCATGCAATTGATCAAAAATGACAGTAAAGACATTTATAATGTTACAAAAGATTTCCATTTCAAAAGATAAATAATGAATTTTTTTTTTACATTCTATTCATCAAAGAAACCCGAAAAATAAAATGCATCACAATTTACACAAAAATATTGTGCAGCACAACTGTGTTCAACATTGATAATAATCAGAAATGTTTCTTGAGCAGCAAATCAGCATATTAGAATGATTTCTGAAGATCATGTGACACTGAAGACTGGAGTAATGATGCTGAAAATACAGCTGAGGCGGCAGAGAAAGATTAAAGCAGCGTGTATAAACTACAGACAGCAGAGATCTTACTGCTGGACTTCAGGGAATAGATATTTTCAAGCCAGTCCTCAAATAAACCAGACTCGAGTGCTCAGACCGGAGAGCTTCATATCACACTGCTGAAACTCACTCACAGCATGAGACTTACCTTCAGATGCGCTTGAGCGGCCAATTTTGTGGTCTATGAAGGACAGAAGATGAAAAAGTGTCTTTATAATCAGTTAGTTATTATACATGAGCAACTGACACACACATACAGTCACAAAACTCATTCCTCACAACTAAACAATAACACTTCAGCTGGAAGAGCTCGTGCTGTGTAGTGAATACTGTTTGACAGACGTGACACCACAATTACCACCAGCTTCAGCGTCTCACTGCTTCATAAAACATATTCAGGGCACACGTTCATGATCCAGTGCCTCAGATACGCCTTCTTTCTTTGCGAGAACCAGGGGCGATTCTAAGATTTTCGTTTTAGGGGGGCTCAGCCCCCAATGAGGGTATAATAATAAAAAATATTAAATACATTTATTAAAAAAATTAATAATAGTAAACATATAAATAAAATAAAAAATGATTGACTAATAGGGTAAGGTGGTAAACTAAACGTATTGCATTTTGCAACTTATTGTATTCCACTGTACTGCATAGATAGGTATAACATTTGAGTACTGAATAAGCCATACAAGTCTTCCTGAATCCTGAGCTCTCTCTCACTCTCACACACACACACACACACACACACAC